CAACACACATCCTCTCCCACCCAAAGCATCACCCCTGTGCTTGAATTCACAAGATAAAACACTCGGAGCTCTTGCTCAGAAACATAGCCATCAACTTTTCCCTTTTCTTGCAAGGAATCCTATTCGGAATAAGGGAATTTCCCTTAAAAAAGGGAAACGTTGGCAGCTATGCTCAGAAAACAGAGGGGGCACACACTCTTTGCAAAAACAAAGAGATCTGCAAGCTGCCTTCTCTGAGGCTCGAACTCAGGACCTTCAGATTATGAGACTGACGCGCTGCCTACTGCGCTAAGAAGGCTGCACAGAAATACGCCTGAGCACATTTTCAACAGAAACCCATGTCAGGTGTGGCCACAAGACAAAACCTCTGCAAGAGCATTACCTCCATGAGGGGAGAGGAAACGCTTCCCCTTGCAGCTTTTGGGGACTTTACAACGCACAGAAGAGGCTGGTCAGAGAGGTGGCATGCTAGATTATAAAATTATGCATGGCATGGAGAAAGTGGGAGAAAAGTTCTCCTCTTGTAACCCTAGAACTCGTGAGCATGCAGTGAAGCTGAATTTCAAAAGATTCAGGGCAAGAAAGAAAAGCATTTCTTCACGCACATTTAAAACAATGGAACTCATTCCCGCAGGAAGCAGTGATGGCCACTGAACGGGATAGCTTTAAAGAAGGATTAGAATAATTCAGGGTGGACTATCGAAGGCTAGTAGACCATTGTGAGAAGAGGATGCTAGACTAGGTGGGTCATGGGCCTGATCCAGGAGGGTTCTCCTTATGTTTTTATGCTCCCTGTCTGGAAATCTATCCCCAGCCAGTGTGGTGAGACTTGCCAAATCACTAGACCAGCCAGGTCTGGACCAGGGTGTTGCTGTTCCACTTCTTGATGGGCCTGTTATCTAAATTCAAGGGCTCATCTAGGCTTCCATTGGCGCCTGGCGAGACAGCAGCACAAGTTAATTCTACCGCTAGAACAGATTGGCTTTCGAAAGTCAGCATCAACCATGGACCACTGTCTAACTCTCTATCACCTTGCCAGTAAATACACTGCACCAAGGCAAGGCCACCTATTTGCCGCTTTCATGGACCTGGAGGCCGCCTTTGATTCCATTCCTAGGCAGAGATTATGGTCCAAACTTGCCCATCTGGGAATTGATCCGCACCTCCTCTCCCTAATTATTTCCCTTTATTCAAACACCACAGCTTGTGTCCGAAGTGATCCCAACGGCTCCCTTACCACTCCATTCCCAACAGCCAAGGGCGTCCGACAAGGTTGTCTCTTGGCCCCTTTACTGTTTAATCTCTATCTTCATGATGCAATTACCCCTTTGAAGCTAGCATCTAAGTATCCTCCTCACTTAGCAGGCCACCCCATTGTTTCCCTTTTCTATGCAGATGACGCCGTCATCTTATCCAGAACAGCTGCGGACCTAGCAAATACAGTTAATGCATTTATCGCCTATTGTAAGGCGGAAGCTCTTAATATTAATTATAAAAAATCGAAAGTCCTCCACTTCACTCGTTCCCGCAAACTCAAGCTGGAGCCGCTTAAGATCACAGGTGGCTACTTAGAAAAGGTAAAAGCCTTTAAATATCTAGGCTTAATATTCACCTATAATCTCTCCTGGACCACCCATCTACAATCTGCCTTTCTCGCTGCAACCACGACCTCTAATGCCATTGTCCAATTTTACCACCAGAAGGGCGGCAAACACCTTCCAGCAGCAATTCAAATATTTAATGCCAAAGTTGTCCCTAAATTATTATATGGCTGTGAAGTATGGACTACAGCAATATCAGGTAACTTGGATCGCCCACTTCATATGTTTCTGAGATCTCTTTCCGGCGTCCCGAGATGTGTCTCAGGTGCAGCCCTACGACTTGAGTTCGCCCAGGCCTCAATTGTAAAACGAGCATGGAGTCGAGCCATTTCCTATAGCTCCCACCTACTAGCATCGGATGCTCGAATTAGAGGTGGTTTTTCCAATCTGATCCTAAGAGATATTCATAATTCCCCCTGGAAAACTACAATTAACCTCAAACTCCGCTCTTTTCTCAATCTGAATTGCAAAACTGTTCTTAACTTAGAGTGTATCAGTCCGGGCGGCCCTACCTCCAATTAAAAAGAAGCTACAGCAACTTGACTTCTCTAATACAGCTGCCCATGCAAGAGGGCCGTGTTCAGGCCTAGCCCTAGCTATTCCACCCCCTGAAGGGATCCCTCTATACTGCTTCACAATTTCTTCGGAGGCTAAGCAAAGGGCCTTTACCTGTGCCCGTCTCAACTGTTTTCCTACAGCAGTTCTGTCGGGTCGTTATTCCAGAGTTCCCATCGCAAATAGAACATGCACCTGTAATGACACGGCTCTGGAGACTATGGAACATGTAATGCTCTTCTGTCCCAACTGGACAGATGAAAGATCTCGGTTTTTAACTCCTCTCGTGAACAAGCTTCATCTCCCAATCCAGCCCTGGATAGTGTCCCTTCTTTTGCAGGATTCTGATTGTTGGATTACCAAGATGACAGCTAACTTCCTGCTCAGTGTGATGAAGAGGAAAGCGGCACTAACTTCTTCTTTAACACCACAGCTGCAGTCGATATGCCGCACAACCGAACGAAGTTCCAAGTAGCCTTATTATACAAGGACAATGGAGCTAGGACAAATCTGAGGAGCCGAAGGACCCTTTAATGATCCTCCGCCAGCCTCAGCAGTTTTTTGTCTTTCTGTTTTTGTACTATCTGTCACTCGATGTTTTAAATCCCCTGTCCCTTTTGTTATCCCCCTTTTTCTCCCCCCCCTTTCTTTAAGTACTCGCCCAGGACAATATCTACCTTTATCTCCCCACCCCCATTTTATGTTGTTATTTCTATGTATATCATGCTATGGCCACACGGCTAACGCAATAAAATCTATTGATTGATTGACAACTAACTGTTCTGTGTCCAGCAAACAATGCAGTACTTCTTCTTTGGAAAGAAAATTACCTCCTCACTAGCTGTGCAAGTAGTGATGGGGTACCATATGAAGTCACCAGTCCTGTGACCTGGGTTCGTGCAGGTCTTCCTCTCTTTTTCGCCCCTTGGAGAGGTGGGGGCAGCACACCTATCCAAAGGTTTTGATGCCAGGGCACCTGGCCACTGAGGAAAAGGTCCAGCCACCTCATCTTGCAACTTGGGAGTCTTGTTTCTGGGAGAAACTAGAATGGTGCTTGCTTTTGCCCTGGGCAGCCAAAGTAGCTCAGCTGGGAGAGCGTTAGACTGAAGATCTAAAGGTCCCTGGTTCAACCCCGGGCTTTGGCAAAGCTTTATGGGCCGCGTTCCTTTTGCATAGTCCATTCACTCCCTTTGATGGGCATTACCCCAAAGGACGCTCCCCTTGCTATGTGGAAAACTTCAGAAAAAGGGAGCTCTCCTTTGAGCCTGGGACGGTGGGATGCTGATCTGTTGTGCTTTGCTCACATGGGCCATTCTATACAAGATCTCAAAGTAGCTGTCTTATTACAAAAGAACTTCAGAAATAGACTGGAAAGAGAAGTTGCTGAATTGCAACTTATTACCAAACTTAAAACCATGGAGAAACCTGGTCTGAGTAGAGACATTGGATTCTTATCTCATTATACACGATAAAGCTATTTTTAGCCATCTCATCCCTTGCTTTTTCCTGTAAGACCAATTGCAGTTGTTAACAGTCGTCAACAGGTTTACCACACCGATCAGCCAATCACCCATTCCCACCACCCTTCTGAGTAATACCCCTTCCCACCCTTTCACTACATATAAGGGTCTGGTGACTTCTGTTTCAGTGTATTTGAAGAAGTGTGCATGCACACAATAGCTCATACCAATAACAAACTTAGTTGGTCTCTAAGGTGTTACTGATCGCCAAAGAATGGATGCTTTTGAATTATGGTGCTGGAGGAGACTCTTGAGAGTCCCATGGACTGCAAGAAGATCAAACGTATCCATTCTTAAGGAAATCAGCCCTGAGTGCTCACTGGAAGGACAGATTGTGAAGCTGAGGCTCCAATACTTTGGCCACCTCATGAGAAGACTCCCTGGAAAAGACCCTGATGTTGGGAAAGATGGAGGGCACAAGGAGAAGGGGACGACAGAAGACGAGATGGTTGGACAGTATTCTTGAAGCTACCAGCATGAGTTTGACCAAACTGCGGGAGGCAGTGGAAGACAGGAGTGCCTGGCATGCTCTGGTCCAGGGGGTCACGAAGAGTCGGACACGACTAAGTGACTAAACAACAACAACAACAACAACAACAACAAAGGTGATACCGGAAGGAATTTTTTTGTTTTTCCACTCTAGTCACTGTTACAACAATCAAGATCCCCATCTCACCACCCTTTTCATCCAGAGTCTTCCCTTTCCCATTCTCAGAAAAGAGAATTTAATTTGCGAGAATTAAAATGATAGGTATTAGCAGCTGGGAGAAAAAATAAACCCACCTGATGCTGAAAAGACCCTATTTGGTGGATCATAATGTATTTGGGGTGGGGCTGAGGAACACAAAGTCCAATGAGAAATATATAGGGCCGTCACAGCCTTCCGGAAACTGCTGGACTGCAGCTCTCATCAACCCTGACCCCTGGCCATGCTGGATGGGGCAGATGGGAGTTGGAGTCCGGCATCATCCAGAGGACGCCATGTTTGCTACCCCAACAGACAGAGTCCGATTTGTAAATAAGGAATGTTAATGAAGCAACCCTAAACACATTTAAACTGGGCAAAAGCCCCAATGAATTAAACAAGTAAGTGTCAAGATAGAAAAGCTGTATTTGCAGAGGGGGGTTTGAAGTTTGTGCCCTATTCACGTCATTTGTGTTTTCTTCCTGTCTGAGTTCTCCAGAGCAAAGAGCCTTCCTGCCTGATGTGAGTGAAGGGGTTGATTTCTAGAAATCTATTAATTCAGTAATGTGCACATTTGAATAGCTGCGGAAGGTGTTGTGAGGAGAGGAAGGTGGAGAAATGAAACCAGGATTGAAGGTGATGGAGGCTGAACCTTTTTGAGGAAAAGTTTATTTATTCAGAATGGTCAAGTGTTACTGTTTCCTTAAGAACTCACCTGCAGAATAAATTCTGGAAAGGGAAAAGAAAAACACAACAAACAACAACAACAATTTATTGACTATTTTGTTATTTCTGCTTATTTCGACTGGAATGAATCCTCAAGTGCCCTTGAGAGGCAAATACTGTTGTTGTTTTAATCTGAGTCATTCTGGTCCAGAAAGAAACATTTGCTGGGCCTGTGAGGCGGATTCCATCTCCTCAGGAAATCCTGAAGTGGGTTTTATCTCCCGACAGGTGAAAGAAAGGAAGGATGGTATCTCCAGAGAATAAGGCTCCTGAGAACGTGTAGAGTTCGGTTCCTGAGTCAGCATCAGAAAAAGACACCTCCTCCCCTTCATAGTCCAGAGTCACTCGGATCCTCTTGGGCTCCCAAAACAGGGACAGAGGAAGGTAATCAGGGGGGTCAAACGCCATGTAGTCACCTCCTGACTTTCCCACAGCCCAGATCCCTCCCTCAGAACTTAAGGCAAAGTCACCCTTCCTCTCTGCAGACTTCCTAGTGACCCCCACAGTCCAATAGACCCACTTTCCCTCACTTTCCACAGTGACTTCCCAGAAATGGCAGCCTGCTGTGAATCCTTCATGTCCCAACACAGAAGTACGGTTGTTGAATCTCTCTGGATTATCGGGCAGGTCTTGCTCTTTGTCTCCATATCTCACGCTTTTCCGATCCTCAGACAGGATGAGTCTGGGATGGGCTGTGTCTGGATCCAGAGTGACATTGGCTGTTGTGGGGGGAGGATGAGGGAAAGAGAAGAGAGGCAGAATCAGTCGAGAGTCAGAGACAGACATCCTGATCCGAAAAACACCCCAGGAACCAGATTCCCTCTAAAAAAATGGGAGTTCTTTGCCTCACAACTAAGATTAGGAGTCTTCCAGAATAAATACATTCCTTTTGGATTTTGAATCAGTTTTGTTCCTCTTTTTATAGTCAATGCATTTATATTGTTCTCCTTTTTTCAATCCATCTATCTTCCAAGAAGCAAAATCACCCAGGAAACATTATCCTATGCCAGGTTTCCACAGCCTCGGCCTTCCATGTGTTTTTTGGCCTACAACTCCCATGATCCCTAGCTAGCAGGACCAGTGGTCAGGGAAGATGGGAATTGTAGTCTGAAAACATCTGGAGGGCCGAGGTTGAGGAAGCCTGTCCTATGTCCTTTTAAAATGTTTTTTTTTTGAGGGGGGGGCTATTGGGTTGTTGTTTTTATTATTATTATGTATTTTGTGGTTTTATATGTTTATTTTATTCTGTGAACCGCCCTGAGACCCTTGGGTGTAGGGCAGTATATACATTCAATAAATAATAAGAATAAGAATATTCAGCTCTTCTATGTTAGTGAAGAGGATAGTGGCCAGTAGACGGAAATTGCCCTCCTTTGACACTCTCTGGGTGAATTAGCCATTTGGAGCTCCCATGGGGTGTTGAATGAGGGCACCCCAGTTCAGATCTGCAGAGAACAGCTATCAACCCCTTAATAACCTCATTTATAGTTGGGAAGAACGTCAGTGCAGAATGATCAGCCAATTTTAGCTCAGCTGGAGGTAAGACTAATGCTGCTTCAAGGGTAACATTTCATTGAGGAAAACAAAGTTGGGCAACCTAGCAGATACCCTTGCACTGCAAAACTTTTCGTAGAAGCATTGTACCACTAACATGCAATTTTGTTTTCCTGGTGCATGCTAAAAGCTCTTTAAATAATGTATTGTCTTTTGCAGTTTTCATTGTAAAGCTGATTCATTGTCCTGAAAACACACCTGCATTTGTATATTTAAATCAGGACATTGGGGAAAAGTTGGCTACGGTGGGATACCTATTGAACTAGAGCTAATACAGTGGTGCCCCGCAAGACAAATGCCTCGCAAGACGGAAAACTCACTAGACGAAAGAGTTTTCCGTTTTGGAGGTGCTTCGCAAAACGAATTTCCTATGGGCTTGCTTCGCAAGACGACAATGTCTTGCGAGTTCCTGCTGGTTTTTTTCCCCTCCCCCCTTTTTCTAAGCCGCTAAGCCGCTTATCAGCTGATCCGATCAGCAGATAAGCCGCTAAAAGCCGCTAATAGCGCTAATCCGCTAATCCTTCAATGGGCTTGCTTCGCAAGACGAAGAAACCGCTAGACGAAGAGAATCACAGAACGGATTCTTTTCGTCTTGCGAGGCACCACTGTACAATCATGTGCATGCCTCCCACTCACAATCCCCACGGCTGGAATATTTTTTTCTTTAAAAAAATATGAGGCAAAAAAATGAAAGAGAGCACTGTGCCTCCACAGTGAAGCATCTCTTCCCAAAGTTGCTCTGGAAGCAGAAGGAGGCTTAGGGTGGGCTGTTTCTTTCTGGCCCCTTCCCACTAAGACCAACTCCTCCTCCCTGACCTGACCTTGCTGAGCCATTTCAGAACGCAGATTTCTCCCTCCCAAATCAGCCATTAGCATCTGTCTTCTTGGAACTGCTTTTTAAACTTCCAGAAGATGAAGCCCCACTTGGTCCCTTAACAAGGCCGGGGGTGCGGACAGTGCTGGGTCTGGCCAGCAAAACAGATCTCCCTGTGGGCTAAATTTGCTAGGTGAGGGCTACTGACAAGGCTGCCTCTGATTCTCAGGTGATGGAAGCCAGAAACTGGAGAGAGCCACTGCCTTCCTGTCCTGCTGAGGGGCTTCCTGGTGGCATCGGTTTGGCTCCTGCTGGAAAGAGGATTTTGGGTGAGATGGACTCTTCGTCTGACACAGCTGTGAAGTGCTTTGGTCACATAAAGCAAACAAACTATCTTTAGGCAGGAAGAGAACTTAGTCATATACATCTGGGCAGTTTCTTTGGAGGCGAAGCCCTCTCCCCATCCTGTCTACACCTTCAATCCCAGCCTCTCTGCCTTTGTTGTACGTAGGGAAAACCCAAACAGCAGGGCCAGAGTCAAATTATGGATGGTTCTTAACTCTGCAGCACAGACCCCATGAAAGACCAGCCCTGACCCCTTCTGTGAATTTAGGCCTCCATGTGAAACTTACCTCTCTGAAGATTTCTGAGTAATGGATCATCTGAGGAAGCAAAAAGATATGATGTTTAATCTTGTTACGAAAGGATTACATCATATCCTAGCACCTGTTGTTTCCTTATTTCAAGCAGAAGATTAAATCAGAGAACAAATAACTGCAAACAAGAAACAGTATGACTAAGAAATTAAAGACACTAACATGATGAACTAGATGACCCTTGGAAACCTTTAAAACTCTACTGTCCTATGCTTCTATGTGAAAACCAGAAATGGTTCTCCATGCTAGAAAATCGCAAAATAAAATCAATTTGAATTCATGAATGAAATAGAGATCTATACTGGAAGACCAGAAGTGCCATTTCCATCTTTTAAAAAGATCCCCCCCAAAAAGCCAAAGTAAGGTCAAGATCTGCCCCAAGTATAAACAGGAGGGAAACAGCTACTGAAGCCAGAATTTTCAAGCATGATGACAAACCAAATTCCAGAGGAAGAATTGGCAGAGCTTTAAAATGTAATTCCAGGGGTTTCATGTAATGGGAAGTCCTCCTTCATAGAATGGGGTTGATCTCATAAGAAGTGTGAGTCCTTTAAGACTCTTGAAAGGTACTGTAAGTCTTTGAAGTCCCACCCCCCACAATCAAGTGATATATAAATTTTATGAAATAGATAAAAATAAAAGTAAAAAATCAATTAGAAAACCAGTGAAATGACAGGCAGGAATAGAACTCTTCCATTATAGTCCCAGACTGATGTGCAGATTCTTCACAGGGACAAGCTCTGCCCCCAATCCAAGCCTTCAACCTCATTCATGAGACCCAAACACCACTAGAGGACTGTTACCCAGAGTTACGCCATTGATGGGGGTCCCAAAGTCTGCAGAACAGACGGTTCAACAGCCATAAAATATCAGTTCCCATCCCTCCTGTGAAACTGTTCTCCCCATGCAATTTACCTTCCTGAAGCTGTTCTTTGAGTAACAGAGCATCTGAGGAAGCAAAAAGATATAAAGTGTAAGGGCAACACTCTTCCACCTGAAATAAATCTCCATACAAAAGTAACGCTTCATAACGTAGCATCTTCAAATTCAAGAAAAAGATTAAGAAGTAGAAAAAATAATTATAAACAAGAAAATCATAGGAAGAATCTATGAAAACCACGAAAGCTTTAAAACTCCATAATCATAAAGCAAGCTTACAAATATCAGAATAAAAATATTCAGCATAAATCCTGATATTCTCTGAGTTTTGTCACTAAAATTGGTGTCTATAGTGGAGGGCTAGAGAGGAGGCAGGACAATAGGAATCCCGTAAAAGGATGCAGAGGGGAGATGGAGGCAGCCTTAACATCTTCCCCAAGTAAAGTGGTGGGGGGAATCATTAAAACTGAAATTCTGAAACATAAGGAGAAGCGAAAGCCGATGAGGAAGGATTGGCAGAGATCTCATGCAAAAGGAATTCCTTCCTCACAAACCTTCTACTAATCTTTCAGATTGTTATCAAGCATAACTGTGCCTTTGGGGCTCATGTGCTCTTGCTTCCATCCTCAATGGGGGAACTCTCAGGAGTTCTTGAAGGCTGAAGTCCTAGATATGGCATCTGCAGGGGGACGTCTGAGGAGGAGACAGCTCAGGCCTTGGCTCCACGGCTGACAAACAAGCCTGAGCAGGAGGCAGAGGGGGAACTGAGGGCTTCTCAATGTCCTTTGACTCCATTCAGAGCAGGAGAATCTCCAGAAGGACAACCCCAGATTGTGTAGATGGGGAACCAAAAGGAAAAAAGGAGGTTCCATATAACTGTAAACAGATGCACACTGCAGGAAAAACCCCTGACTTTGCTCTATTTTTCAGGCTTTCTTTACAGGATCCAGAGTGACAATATACACAGGGGAAAGGAAATGATGGCTGGAGCACCAAGAAGGAAACTATCCTGGTGGTGCCCTGTCTGCAGCAGGAATGAAATTCAACGCAACAAGAGCCTGGCGTGTTCAGTTCTGAACTAATATAACGCCCAGTGTAAAATCCTTGCAGGCAGTTTTCATTACCTTCAAATTGTTCCATGACATCTTCCACAAGGTTATTTATATCACAAAATTCCGAGATCCTCTTCTTCAGCTCCGGAAAGAAAGCCAGTGGATTCTCTTGACTCTCCCTTTTCCCATACCTGGTGAAAAGAAAAATACTGTTAGCCTGTTCAAATCCACAATTCCCAGTACATGAAAAAGATGGAATCGAGGAAGAGAATTGCAGAAAGCTCAGAGGGACAGGAAGGCACAGAGGGGAAAGATTATTCCTCACTATAAACTCCACAGCCAGACATCACAGGGCCAGAACAGCAACCCCAGGCCTCTGAGTCTCCCCACTGATGTCTATTCAAAGAACAAGAAATGAATATAACGTGCAGGAGGCAGAGAAGAGCCTCCAGACCTGCGTGAGGTGATGGGGGGGGGGGGGAGAAGGCAGAGCTCTGGCCCTGATTCTTGCAATGAGAAATTGGTGTGCTACAAGTTCAAAAGAGGGGGCCCTGCTTTTACCTGTGAGATGCTACAGGGAGTGAGTCCTACAGTCTCCCCCCTGCAGCCCCTGGAGGGCCATGTCTGAGGTTCTTGCATCTCAGCTTCAAAGAGTGATGCTAATGGAAATGAGCCAGATCCACTTACCTCTCCAAGGTGGTTCTCATATCCTAGAGGGGAAAAGAGAAAGGAATTCACTGAACACCACAGGCCACACTAGGAAGACCCCCTCAGACCCTGGAGTGGAGGAACAGCCTGGCCCTCGGATGTCAGTCTGCCTGGCACATGACAAAATTTTGAGTAGGGATCAGCCAATTTTGCTTTCTCTCAGTTTTCATTTTTCCAATGTTAAGTTCTTAAGTTACCCAGTCTTAAGTTCTTGAGGACAGAAATGGGTTTTTTTTTCCTCCCGGAGGTGAGATAAATAGACATGATGACAAGGCCTTAGTTGAGTCAAGACAACATACCAGTGTGAAGGCGCTGGAAGATTTGTTACTTCATATGAGGACAGTGGTACCTCGGGTTAAGAACTTAATTTGTTCCGGAGGTCCGTTCTTAACCTGAAACTGTTCTTAACCTGAGGTACCACTTTAGCCAATGGGGCCTCCCACTGCTGGAGCACGATTTCTGTTCTCATCCTGAAGCAAAGTTCTTAAGCCGCGGTAATATTTCTGGGTTAACGGAATCTGTAACCTGAAGCGTCTGTAACCCGAGGTACCACTGTAGTAGTGCTGGCTGGCCTTTGTGAGCATCTCTGTACTCTAGGCATCTCACATGAGTCCCTAAAACAATGGCCGTTGTCCCTTGTCTGCCTCTGTGTGAGAGAGGGTGGGGCAAGAGCAAAGGACAATCTCAAGGCCTAAAACCTGGGGGGGGGGTCAAGTAAAGAAACTGCGCTTAATGCTAAAGCTCACTTCTCGTTTGCTCAATTTTATTTTTCCCTTTGATCCAAGGCAGCCAAAGCAGCCTCTGGGAAGCCCAACACAGGGCATGAAGGCAGCATGGCCATGATACGACGGCATTAGGAGACCATTATTTTCTGCAAAGAGCAGAAAACCGCATCCAGTTCCATCCACCACAGAAGAACCTCTAGTCCAGTGTTTCCCAACCAGTGTTCCGTGGCACACTAGTGTGCCGCGAGACGTTGCCTGGTGTGCCGCGGGAAAAATTAAAAAATTCGAAAGATATCCGGAGAGGCGGCCTTCAGGCGAGTTTTAATTTTAATTTTCCTTCTCCCACTTAATGCCCCACGCTCGCCCGAGCAGCTTGCAGTCCTCGGTAACCACGGCGACCCGAGGGAGGGAACAGGGAAGTCGAGGGCGGCGGCGAGCCGCGATGACGTCAGTGGGCCGCGCCGCCTCGCCCTGGCACGGTGTGAGAGCCCCGGCTAGTGGTGCGAGCTTCAGAATAAGTGGGATCCGCGTGCGCGAGACCGAGATCGCGGGTAAGGAGCTCAGCCCTGGGCAGGAGGAAGCGGGGCCGCGCGTGCGGGCCACATCCCCACAGAGAGCGAGCCTCCACCGGCCCACCACTCCGGGCAGGTCCACTCGCATGAGGGGGCGGCGATGGCGACGGCCGGCAGCTTGCCTGCAATGCCATCCCTCGAGCAGGCGAGGAGCCCGGAGGCTACCAGATGCGAGTCCTCTTTCCCACCCTGCTCGGGAGTCCAGAGCACTTGGTCGCATTCAGGATCTAGAGTGGGGAAGCGGGGCTTGTGTCTGGGCTGGACACATTGGGCTGCCTGTGCCGCTCGACCTGCGGGGAGAAATCAGGGTGGGAGTCACGACCGTGAGGCAGGGCTGCCAAGTGTGGCAGAAGAGGACACGGCCGTCGCACCTGTCCTTAGGTAGGAGCTTCTTCCGTGTCGACCTGCTGCCCTAAAGTCTTGGCTTTTTTCTTGGCTTTTTGGCGGTTGGCACAGAAGGAAGGCAAGGGGGAGGGGGAAAAATTGAAATTTACACTTTCGTGCGTCCCTCCCGGCGTGACGCTGCGCGCTGACGTCACGGGGCTGTAATGGTGGTGTGCCTCGAGATTTTTTTCATGAAACAAGTGTGCCTTTGCCCAAAAAAAGGTTGGGAAACACTTGCTCTAGTCTGCATTCAGGTGAGAAAATCATCCCAGCTCTCCTGACTAGAGCCTCCATATACTGAGCCCCATACTATTTGTATAGATGAATGAGGCACATAAAAGTTTGCCAGCACCCTTTTCCAGGCGTGAAGCCTTGTGCTGCTCCTGCCACCATCTTACCTGCAGGAGTTCATTCGCTGGTTTTCTGGCACTTCTCCTCCAACTCCTGGATGCCTCCTTTCAAGAGAGGAGAGTTCGCTGGAGATCGGCCAGCTGCTCATCCCTTTCCCTTGCAATCTGCTCCTCTACGTCTTCTATCTCATTCAACAGGTGCTTTTCTTGTTCCTCCAGGAACTGGCGCAGTTGCCTGAGCTTTCTCCACTGTTTTCTGCCTCTCCGTTTCTGTCAATTTCTGCAAGAAGCAGGAAGAAATAGGTAAAAAGGATGTCTGGAGTCTGGAATGTGTATTTACAACATCAGAAGGAGAGACGAGAGGAATTCCACAGGGAGGCCATGTTTGATTTTTCATAGACCTAAAACCAACCCCTAGCAGCTAAAGAAGGCCTCTTCTTCAGACATTAAAGTAAAAATTGGAGGGTGGCAGGAGGTTGAAGGGATGAACACACGCTCTCTACCCTCTCCACTGCCATTTATATTGCCTTCCATTTTGTTGTTCCATTTTATTGAAGCAAGAGCCTTGTCATGATGTGGAAAAATGAGAAACTGGGAGAGGATGAAATGGGCAGATTTCCCATCCCTCCTCAGTCCTGACTTGATTCTTCAAGTAGTTGTTCCCTCCCTAATAATCACAGTGATACTTACAAGGAGGGCTTGGCTTTCCTTTTTCAGGTCCAGTTGATAGGCCAGAATTTTCTCTCTCTCTTTCATCAGGATCTGCAGGCGGCTGCTGATCAGTCCCTAAAGAGGAAAGAAAAAAACTCGGGATAGACAGAGAGAGGTGGAGCGATAAATTGACTATTACCCCTGACATCTACTATGCGGTGGCCCTGCTCTTAATAGTTTCTCTCCCTCTTCCGTTTCATTAATACTTTTAATTGAGCAGATTTAATATGCAACAGTTAATGCTTGTATTTTTTTATGTTTTTAATTAAATGATTATAGATAAAACTGCAAAAGTTTGGAGAAAAACCATAAAAGATTTACTGAGGTGGGGATATTTTTAGCAGGCTTTGCCAATCTCGCTAACCTCCAGAAGTTTTGTTTAGGAACTTTTTAAATGTTTGATGTTTTAATGTGCTTTTAAGATTCTGTTGGGAAACCCAGGCCAGATGGGTGGGGTATAAATAATAAATTATATTGTTGTTATTGTTATTTATATTAGCGTAAAATAAAAAATACAAACAATCAAAAATGTTCAAAGTCACAAAATATAGTGGTTATATCTTCTGCATAAACAATAGACTATGTAGAAAAATGAAAGGTGCCAGGGCTGGCCCAATACATTTCATTGCCTAAGGGCAACCGTTAAAAAATGGTGCCCCTCACCATGTTCCACTCATACAAAAGCAAGTACTATATTTTGCCTAGCTTGGGATTAGAGAGGCCCTTTTTGAGCCCTTTGAAGCCTCAGAGATTTTGGCAGACAGATGATGCTGAGTGCCATCCACACACATGGCTACTTTATGGCTCCCCTCCAACTTCCCAGGGTGTCTGAGCGAGGGGAAATGCGTTGTCCCCCCACCCTGCAAAAAAACAATAATGGGGGAAGGTGGGTGACCGGACATCAAAAGTGTTCCACCTCGGTTGCAAACCCTGTCACCTTCTGCCAGCTCCCCCCACCCCACAGTGAGATGCAGCCCTGGGAACTGGAAAGGACCCAAGGGCCATTCTAGTCCAACCCCTGCAATGCAAGAAGCACGGGTAAGATTTGTAGATTTACCGCAGCATGCAATTTATGGCTACTATGCGATGAACCCATCCCTGGAGACAAGTCTTATTAGCATCATCCTTGCTATCATTTTAGGGACGCGGATGGCGCTGTGGGTTTAAAAGCCCTCAGCGCCTAGGACTTGCCGATCGAAAGGTCGGTGGTTCGAATCCCCGCGGCGGGGTGTGCTCCCGCCGTTCGATCCAGCACCTGCCAACCTAGCAGTTCGAAAGCACCCCCGGGTGCAAGTAGATAAATAGGGACCGCTTACCAGCGGGAAGGTAAACGGCGTTCCGTGTGCTGCGCTGGCTCGCCAGATGCAGCTTTGTCACGCTGGCCACGTGACCCGGAAGTGTCTGCGGACAGCGCTGGCTCTCGGCCTATAGAGTGAGATGAGCGCCCAACCCTAGAGTCTGGCAAGACTGGCCCGTACGGGCAGGGGTACCTTTACCTTTACTGCTATCATTTTATTATCCCAAAGGGGTAGCAGTGTTGCACTAGTTTTAATGTTTAATAGGTTATTGTGTTTTAGTGTTCTGTTGGAAGCCGCCCAGAGTGACTGGGGAAACCCAGCTAGATGGGCGGGGTATAAATAATAAATTATTATTATTATTATTAGGCAGAAAACAATAATGAGAAAGTCCCAGGACTTCACAAGCTTAATATAGGTGCTGCCAATGTGTGTTGATAAAATTTCAAAACCCTTAAAAGGAAGGGAATCAATTGATGTGTTTTAAGGGTACTATTCCATCCTTACTCAGGAGCAAGCTCCACTGAACAACCAGCGTGCAAATTGCATCCAGACAATTCATGTCATGCCTTGTTCAGACGTGTGAGCCACAGAAAAGCACATAGAAGTATCCACAGCTGTTCCTCCCCCGCTCAAGATCCCGCGTGGTTTCCTACTTGCACTCCTCGTAAGCCTCCTCCAGAGGAATCACCTTGTGATTTTCATGTGCCTTGGATTTGCCACACACCACACAGATGGGAGCTTCGTCCTCCTTGCAGAAGAGCTTCAGAGGCTTCCGGTGCTCCTTGCAGACTTTCCCTTTTCCCTCCTTCCTCCTTTCCCTCTTGGAGGCTGAGCTTCTTGATCAATTCCACAAAGTTTACCAGCTGCCGGTTGGGGATGAGATTATTTTGCTGGACTGTTTTTCTGCACTGAGGGCAGGAAGCCTCTGCCTCCAATTCCCCCCAGCACTGGACCAAGCCAGGACCGGCAGAAGTTGTGCCCACACTCTGGGATGGTCACTGGATCCTTGAAGTAATCCGGCAGATGGAGGCAAGGTGGCTTCATCACGGAGATCCTGGACGGGACTCCCTGCAGCAGCAGCAGAAGCCATGGCTCCCTCGCGCCAATTTAAGAGTTAAATGCCACTTCCTCCGATCTCAACTTCCTGGGTTTTTCTGCAAATGACTCCGGAGTTTATTGCCCACAGTGATTTATCCTTGCTCGTTTCCTCCTCGCTTTGCATTTTCTTATGCAGTATATGCATGGCGATACATTGTCCTGAGATGGCAATGTGTACGCAATTTAATAAATAAATAAATAAAATAAAATAAATCCTTGGCATCGTGCAGCAACAGCAGCCTCCGCTTCAAGAAAATCCACCTTCCGGAGGGCAGGGCTTTGTAGCAGCCCGAGATCCCTCCCCCACCTCCTGGATTGGACATCTTGATCCCCTGCTCAGCTCTGGGATCTGGTGGGGGTGGGCAGAGGTTTTTCAGGGGCGGGGCTGCCCTTTCTCCCTGCTTGGAATCAAACAACTTTGGGTGAACAAAGTTCCTTGAAATATTTCCAACAGCGTCTGTGAACTGCACCAGAAAGTAAACGCTGGTGGAACTAGAGGTGAATTAAATTTGTTTTGGGTAAAATGCTTAGAGATTTTATTACCATCAGTCAAGCAGTACACAAATGTTGTTAAATAAAATAAGTAAATCAAGGACAGCCTGGACATATCAGTTGGCTAGACTGTGGTCTGATTGCGCCAAGGTTGCAGGTTCGATTCCCCTATATATGGGACAGTTGTGTGTTCCCGCATTGCAGGTGGTTGAACTTAGATCAGTGGTGTCCAAACTTTTTTCAAAGAGGGCCAGATTTGATGAAGTGAGGGCCAACCAAAGTTGTTTGCCTTTTTTTAGGATTGAAGTTGTTGAGGTTTTTTTAGGATTTTACCACAGGGGCCAGGTTAAACTGACCGGCAGGCCGGATTAAGCCCCCGAAACAAACTTTGGACATGCCTGACTTAGATGATCCACGGGATTCCTTACAACTCTACAAATGGACAAGTCATATTCCGCTGCATCTGTTTGTTTTTAAATATATTTTAAAAAAATTAAGTACAGTGGTACTCAGGTTACAGACGCTTCAGGTTACAGACGCTTCAGGTTACAGACTCCGCTAACCAGAAATAGTACCTTGGGTTAAGAACTTTGCTTCAGGATAAGAACAGAAATCGTGCGGCGGCAGCAGGAGGCCCCATTAGCTAAAGTGGTGCTTCAGGTTAAGAACAGTTTCAGGTTAAGAACGGAGCTCCAGAACGAATTAAGTTCTTAACCCAAGGTACCACTGTATACAGAAACACGTGTGATGTCTCTTTCTGCTGCATCTGTTTTGTTTTTGAAATTTTCTAAGGGCTGGATTCCACTAAGGAGGCTGCTGCCGCCAGGGGCAGGTTTCAAAACAGCAACCTCTGAGTTATGGGCCTGGCATGCTCTTCCTGCGCCACTCTGCCAGAGGGGTCTTTTTTAGGTGACTTGACCAGAACTGGATGAAGTATTACAAAAGTACTTACACCATAGATTGAAACCCAGAGTCTTGGGGGAAATGAGGGATGTGCAAGTTGCCTTCCCTGAAGCTCAAACTCAGGACATTCAGACTTTGAGGCTGATGTTCTGAGAAGGGGGCAGGCAGTGACGTCCAGTGTTTGAGTAACGTATCTCTCCTCCAGGAAAAGCATTTCCCACAGTTTGGGCATTCGTGAGGCTTCCGTGTGGTTCTTCTGGTGCCTCATCAAATGTAGTTGCCCTCATTCAGGACATCAGTTGACCTCACGAATGCCCGGACTGTGGGAAAAGTTTTTCCCGGAGGAGAGATATGTTACTCTGTCAAGGCTTCCTGTCCCAGGATGGGACAAACAATCTGCCCACCCCCTGCTCTGGTGCCCATGATGGAGGCAGGCGGGCAGAGGCACATTATCTCCACAGATAATTCTCATAGCACTAGAACTCGTAGCCCCCAAACAAAGCTGAATGTTGGGAGATCCAGGACAGACCAAAGCATTTCATTGTGCAGCACATAACTGAGCTATGGAACTCGCTGCCACTGGAGGCAGAGATGGCAACCAACTTAAAATCATGAAATTGCAGAGTAGGAAGGGACCACAAGGGTTACCTAATCCAGATCTCTGCAATGCAGGAATCTTTTGCCCAACGTGGTGCTCAAGCCGGTGACCCTTAGATTAAGACTATCATGCTCCACCCACCAAACTGGGGAACAAGACAAGGGACAAATTCACGGAGCATAGGCTGTTAATGGCTCTTAAGCACAATGGCTCCGCTCTGCCTCCACAGTTCAGAGGCAGCAGGCTTCTAAATCTCAGTTGTTGGAAGCCGCGGGGGGAGGCTGGTTTTGCTCTCTGGTCCTCCTTGCAGGTTTTCCGCAAGTGTCTGGGTGGCCCCTCTTGGGCGCTGGACCAAGTGGGCCACTTTTGTGTCCTTCCTTCCATGGGGTGAGTGGAGGCTCACAGGGAAACTTATGATCACACACAAACGTAGCCAACAACATATAGGAGAGGGAGAAAGGGGAAGTGGCCCTCAGGGAGGTGGGGAAAGCTGTATTTCAGGAAAAGGAGAGCAGGCTGCAGTGGTCAGTAGTCGGCGGTGCCAATAGTGGAGCCAGAGTGAGTCCTGTCTGATCTTTGAGAGTGGTCAATTCCATAGGCATTTGTTGTTCTAGCTATTAGTATTCCAGGAGAGAAATCAGATGCACCTGGTGCTGAAAAGACGCTCCTTGCGGGAGCATTGTGTATTTGGGGTGGGACTGAGGAACACAGGGAAGGTGCCCTGCGAAATATATAGGGCAGCACAGCCCATGGGCCCCTTCCGGAAGCTGCTGGACTGCAGCTCCCATCCTCTCTGACCCTGGCCATGCTGGATGGGTTGGAGGGGAGTTGGAGTCCAGCATTATCCAGAGGACACCCCATTTGATGGCCCCTAATATACACAATCCAGCCTGTAAATAAGGAACGTTAATGCATCCACTCAAAACACATATAACTGGGCTCAGTGTGAAGATGGTGAGGCTGTATTTGCAGACAATATTTGAAGCTGACACCCTGTTCAATTTCATTTTCTTCCCTTCTGAGGTCTCCAGAGCAAGCAGCTATTCTGCCTGACGTGGATGAAGGGGTTCATTTTTAGCCCTCTATTAATCCAATAATGTATGCATTTTCACAGCTGCATAAGGTCTTGTGGGGAGAGGAAGGTTTCCTAGAATTGCAGAGTTGCGAGAGGCCCTGAGGGTCATCTAGTCTCATCACCTGCAGTGCAGGAAACATTTCCCCCATGTGGGGCTCAAACCCACAAGCCTGGGATTAAGAGTCTCGTGCTCTGCCAAATCAGATGTCTCAAAAGGAAAACAAGATTGAAGGTGAGGGAGCCCGTTTGAGGAAAATATTGTTTATTGGGACTGTTAAATGTGTGACTATCTCTTGAAGAAACTGCAGATGGAATTCTGGAAAAGGGAAGGAAAATGCAAAGCAACAACAACCCCCCCCCCTTTTTCCCGTTATTCTGCTGATTTTGACTGGAAAAACTGCCGAAAGTGCCCCTTGGCAGGTAAATGTTTTAATATCAGTCATTTTGGTCTGGAGGGAAACTCCTGCTTGGCCTGAGAGGCAGATTTAGTCTCCTCAGGAGATACTGAGGTATGTTTGGTATCCCACAGAAAAAAGATAGGGAGGAGGGTCTCTCCAGAGAACGAGGCTCCTGAGAATGTGTAGAGTTTGGCTCCTGAGTCGGCATCAATAAAAAGACACCTCCCTCCCTTCATAGTCCAGAGTCACCCGGATCCTCTGGGCTTCTCACTCAGGGACAGAGGAGAGTAATCAGGGGAGGTGAAGGCCCAGTACTCGCTTTCCCAATTCTCCAAAGCCCAGATCTCTCCCCCAGGACTGAAGGAGAATAGGCCCTTTCTCCTCACAGACTTTTCTAGTGACCCCCAAAGCCCACTCTTCCTCACTTCCCACATTGACTTCCCAGAAATGTCTGCCTGCTGTGAATCCCTCATGTCCCAACACACAAGGCCAGCTGCTGAATCTCTCAGGACTGATGGGCAGGTCTTGCTCTTTCTCTCCCCATCTTACGCTTTTCTGATCCTCAGACAGGATGAGGCTGGGATGGGCTGTGTCTGGATCCAGAGTGACATTTGCTGTTGAGGAGAAATGAGGGAAAGAGAAGATTAGGCAGAGTCAGCTGAGAGACAGAAACAGACATCCTGATAATAATATAATAATAATAATAATAATAAATCAACCCCCAAAAACCATATTCCCTTTCAGGTCTATGGGATTTCTTTCCCATCGCATGCATGACTAAGACTCCTCCTTGCAGACTCTCATCAGAATACCTAGAAATAGTGTTTCAGGTTAAGAACTTTGCTTCAGGATAAAAACAGAAAACTGGGCTCCGGCAGCACAGTGGCAGCAGGAGGCCCCATTAGCTAAAGTGGTGCTTCAGGTTAAGAACAGTTTCAGGTTAAGTACGGACCTCCGGAATGAATTAAGTACTTAACCCGAGGTACCACTGTATAGACAACCTGAGCCCATGATGGAGGGTCTTACAGCACTAACGCTCTCAAGAAAGTCTTGCTTCCCCCATAGCCTTGAATTCCAGCAGAAGTCAGGCATGGCCCTCTCTCCCCCTTCTACTTTCAGCCTGCTTCTAGAGCGTTCTCCCTCTCTCTCACACACAGACACACAGGACTCAGCCCTGGATTTTGTCCTAACTACCAGCTGATGGACACACCCAATTGCCCCCTGGCACAAAGCCACTTCCTTTGTTAATTTCATTATACACAGGTTGTACATTGACAATAAAAGTGTTAGTTACAGATAGGTAGCCGTGTTGGTCTGCCATAGTCAAAAATAAAAAAATTCCTTCCAGTAGCACCTTAAAGACCAACTAAGTTAGTTCTTGGTATGAGCTTTCGTGTGCATGCACACTTCTTCAGATTCTTCAGAATAAAAGTGTTGTTGTTGTTACCCTTAATGTCCCATACTTAGGGGGCCATTATCTCACCAAGAAGCTGGAGGACTTTTCAATCAGTTGAATCCTTGCTGAATTAGAAAAGGACTCATGCAAAGAGCCTAGCGCGCGCACACACATTCACAACAATCTAAAAGCTTGCAGGCTTTTATTAAATTTTTATACCGCCCTATACCCACAGGTCTCAGGACGGTTACAACATAAAATCACAATATAAAATCACAAAATACAAAACAAAAACTACCCAATTAACCCCCATCCCGTCCCCCCATTTTAAAAGGGCATTGAATGTCAATCAGCCAAAGGCCTGGTTAAAGAGGAATGTTTTTACCTGGCGTCTAAAGGTGTATAATGAAGGTGCCAGCTGAACCTCCCTGGGGAGAACATTCCACAAACGGGGAGCCACTGCAGAGAAGGCCCTGCCCTCGTGTTGCCACCCTCCAGAGCTTTCATGGAGGAGGCACATGAAGGAGGGCCTCGGATGATGATTGCAGGCTCCAGGTAGGTTCATATGGAAAAGGGCGGTCCTTGAGGTATTGTGGTCCTGAGCCATTTAAGGCCTAAATATTTTTAGCAGGAGCCAAAAATAGTAGAGTGAAGGCACCTGCATGATGTCAACAACAGGCAGGGAGTTTCTGCCGCTCTGAAAGATTGATTTCTTACAAATGCCGAACAAGTATTACGTGGAACCTGTAACACTGCCAGTTCCTTTACGTCTCCCCATTAGCCTTTTGTTCACCCCAAGCTTTCCTTTAAAAAAAAATGTATTGCATTGATTTTCATGAGGAAATGGCGACACAGAAACAGGCAATTTCCCAGCCGGCCACCAACCCACAAAACCACAAGCATCTTTGAGTCTATCAGACAGTTCACAGAGCAAAAGCAAGACCAACTTTAGCCTCCAGTTGAAGAGCCCCTTCCAAACATTCAGAAGGAAGTTCTTGCTAAAATCAATCCTTCACAGCCAGCAGTCTTTACATTTGCAAATGTCTCAAGCCCTGTTAACACATAAACATCTTTGGTAGGAATGGGACCAATCCTTAGTCAATTGATTCAGTACCTGTCTATTCAGCATTTCAATAAGATGCTCTGGCAAGCCCAGGAAAACAATTAGCTTGCATTGTTAAAATCTGAGTGATAGGCTTGTCTACAGAAACCTGAGTTCTGAACTTTGCCTGATTTACATTTCTGCATTTCTGTGAAGTTTTCATTATGGTATTGGGTGTGAGGGGTCATGCTAAAGACTTAGTTGGTCTTTAAGGTGCTACTGGAAGGAATTTTTTTTCTCCCCTCCCCACCTTCTCACTATATAGAAGGATCTGGCAACTTCTGTTTCAGTGTATCTGAAGAAGTGTGCATGCACACGAAAGCTCATACCAAGAACTAACTTAGTTGGTCTTTAAGGTGCTACTGGAAGGAATTTTTTTTTCTCCCCTCCCCACCTTCTCACTATATAGAAGGATCTGGCAACTTCTGTTTCAGTGTATCTGAAGAAGTGTGCATGCACACGAAAGCTCATACCAAGAACTAACTTAGTTGGTCTTTAAGGTGCTACTGGAAGGAATTTTTTTTGTTTTGACTATGGCAGACCAACACGGCTACCCATCTGCACATAGCCTCAGACTTTGCAAAGATGGAGGCCCGACACCATTGCAAATGTGCTGAGTTCTCTGATTAGGGATGTTGCTATGTTTATGGAGTCTGGTGTTGTGACCATTAGGTCCTGAGAGCCAGTGTGGTGTAGTGGTTAAGAGCGGTAGTCTCGTTATCTGGGGAACCGGGTTCACGTCTCCGCTCCTCCACATGCAGCTGCTGGGTGACCTTGGGCTAGTCATACTTCTCTGAGGTCTCTCAGCCCCACTCACCTCACAGAGTGTTTGTTGTGGGGGAGGAAGGGAAAGGAGATTGTGAGCCGCTTTGAGACTCCTTAAAGGGAGTGAAAGGCGGGATATCAAATCCAAACTCCTCCTCTTCTTCTTTTTATTACTTTCTGAGGTTTCGTTGGGAAATGAGTTGTTTCTGTTGATAATATTCTATTAATAATTTTTTTTGTACCTTTATGTTTGACATATTTTTGGATTTTTGTGGAAATTTTTATGACTTTTCCTGTTACGTTTGTAATTACGTACGCTTTTTTCGTACTGCAAGCCGCCTTGAGCATAGTTTTAACGATGGAAAGGCGGCATACAAATAAAATTATGAATGAGTGAATGAATCCCCACCTAAACTGGGGAAGGGGGGGACGTTCTCCTATCATAGAAGGGATTCCCAAGGGGCATCTAGTCCAAACCCCCCCCCCATATCAATATTTTGTCCTCTAAAAAGGTTAATGTGTCTTTACTCCTGGACTGCCAGATCCTGCTCAGGTTCACTCACTACAACCCTGGATTCAACAATACTTGCCTCCTAGTCCAAGGTGGTAGAGTGGTCAGACCTGGGAGACCCGGATTCAAATCCCAACGTGATCATGAAGCTCATTGGGTGGCATTGGGTCAACTACTCGTGTTTCTAACCTGCCCCACAGGGTTGTTGGGGATTAAACGAAGCCGGGTAAGAGAACCACGAATGCCACCTTGAGCTCCTGAAAAAGCTGGGCAATTATTATTATTGTTGTTGTTGTTTATTAAATCCCTAACGCCGCCCTTCACCCGAGGAGAACAGGGCGCTTTACAGTATAAAACGCAGCAATGCAACGAATAAGCAAATGTGCATATTTAGATACAGGGAATAAGCAAATATGCATAGGGCATAGGGGCAAATATGCATAGGGACTGTTTTTTCGTTTTTTAAAGAAATATTTCTCCTGTAGCCACCCAGTCCTTCAACAGGGGGCGGTCGGAGGAGCGTCTTTCTGCCTCTGCAGCTCCGCCATTAAAACACCGAGGAGGAGGAGGAAGAAGAGGCGAAGGGAGCATTTTAGGTAGGGGTGGGGGTGGAGGAAAAGGGGGGCTGGCAGCGGGGAAGGAAGATTTTGGGGTCCGGGGAAGCGTCATAGGCACAACAGCAGCAGCAAAGCGGATCGATTGGAGAAGTGAGTTGCACCAGGCGCGCGCGCGCTCTCTCTCACACACACATACACACGTGTCTCCTTGTCGCTTCCGGGACTGTGCAAAGGTGCGCGTGCGAAGCCCCGCGGTTAATCGCAGAAGCCCCCACGTGCCACGTGGCCGCCGGCTGCCCCTTTTAAGTCGCCCCGCCTCAGTTCTCCGCGTATGTAGTATGGGAAGCAATAATAACAAATAGGTCGCAGGGTTTCTTTGCTGCAGTCCCGCCCCACCTCTTCTCTCCCAGAAGCTCAAGGTGGCGCGCACGTCCCCCACCCACCTCCTCGTTTGGCCCCCACAACAACAACAACCCCAAGAGGTTAGTATGCCTCCCTCCATCCGAGGATCACAGGGCGGTTTACCATCTAAAAACACAGATTAGGTTGAGCGCAGGCAGTGATTGGTGAGCGTCCTGGCCAAGTGGAGGGATTTGAACACAGGTCCCCCATGTTGTTGCCAGTTACTCTCAGCCTGCCCTTGACCCGAGATTATGGGAGAAGCCTATAATTTAAAGCTGCTGTTGTTCAGATTAGCCCCCCCCCACACACACACATAAGCAATGGTGGGATATTAACGCCAGGTTTTTATTATCATGTTCCTGCAAACTGCTCTCTGCTGCTGCTGCTGCTGCTCCTCTCAAAATGCAATGCGCTCTATGTGGGTCTTCCTTTGAAGGTGACCTGGAAACTACAACTAATCCAGAATGCGACAGCTAGACTGGTGACTGGGAGTGGCCGCTGGGACCATATAACACTGGTCCTGAAAGGCCTACATTGGTTCCCACTACGTTTCTAAACACAATTCAGAGTGTTGGTGCTGACCTAAATGGCTTTGACCCTGTATAACTGAAGGAGCATCTCTGCCCCCATTGTTCAGCCTGGACACTGAGGTTCTCTTCCGTCTTCTGGCGGTTCCCTCACTGCGAGAATCAAAGTTATAGGGAACCGGGCAGAGGGCCTTCTCTGTAGTGGCACCCTCCCTGAGGAATGCCCTTCCATCAGATGTTAAAGAAATAAACAACTACAGTCGTACCTTGGATCTCAAACGCCTTGTGGCTCGAATGTTTTGGCTTCCGAATGCTGCAAACCCGGAAGTGAGCGTTCCGGTTTGTGAACATTTTTTGGAACCCAAATGTCCAACTCGGCTTCTGACTGAGTGCAGGAAGCTCCTGCAGCCAATCGGAAGCTGCACCTTGGTTGTCGAACATTTTCAGAAGTCGAATGAACTTCCGGCACGGATTCCGTTCAACAACTAAGGTACCACTGTATCTGACTATTAGAAGACATCTGAAGGCAGCCATGTATTGGGACGTTTTTAATGTTTGATGTTTTATGTTCTGATATTTGCTGTGAGCTGCCCAGGGTGGCTAGGGAAACCCAACCAGATGTGGTAATAATATTGCTGCATTACATAGCAGGGTTGTTCCTCAGCCGCCTCAAATTGCAATATGTCGATGAAATCCCCCAAATACATTAAAAGCCTGCTTAAAGCTGCTAGTCTTCATTTTGGTCTGAAAAGTGGGCATAACCTTCCTCATAGATCTAGTGTGTTAGCCACACTGGCTGTTAATACTCCCATTAAGGAAGAACTTAAGAAGAGCTTGCAGGATCAGGCCAGCAACCCGTGCAATCCAGCATCCTGTTCTCACAGTGGCCAACCACTTCCCTTAAGGCAGCGTTTCCCAAAATTGGGCCTCCAGCTGTTTTTGGACCATAGTTCCCATCATCCCTGACCATTGGTTTATGATTCTCTATTGATATGGGGGTTGATAGTCCACTTTTACTAGAGAATGTGCCCGTGCTCGAAACTCCCATAGTTCTAGGTGCATTATACAACACGGAATTTCATTAGCGTGAGCAGTTTTTGAGCTCTGGGCGCAGTACTGTGCCTAGGATTTCAGATTAAAACTGCAGAGTGGAAGGAAAGGAGGACATTTTTCTGCCTCGCCACTTCCATCTACTCCCTGAAGAGACACTCTTAAGAATATTACAGAGGGGACGACGACAGGGGGAGGACTGGACAAGGTGAAAAATGAGCATAATATTTTGCTGCAGTTCATTCATTTTCAGCTTTGTATTCTTGTTATTAAAAAGAAATGCCTAGACATTCCCTTGTTGCGCCCATAACCTAGATTTAAGCTGCCATTTAGCTCCTAGCTTTCATATCTCAGTTTCTAACACTGAATGTGCCCCACCACCCTGATTGCTAACCACTTTTTGGCTTTTGTTTTCCTTGACTCCATTGTGTGTGTGTTTGTGTGTTTCTTTAGCTCAGGTAGAAACGCCCCTTTCAACTCAGGAAGACCCCCAGGGTCTTCAGACTACTGGGGTCCTCGGCCAATTGCAGCTCTTTTGTCACCAAGCAAATTTCATCAGACCTGAACCTTCCTCTCTGAGATCTCCTTGGACTAACTATCTCTCTGTTTCCATCAATATCAAGAACTGGTAAGGCTCTTCCTTCCCCCCGGAACCAACCAGCCAAAATCGCTAGCTTTTTAGCTCAAGAGTTGGCATGAAGATGATAGAGCAAAAATATGCAGGCACTGAACCTAAAGGGGGGTCAGAAGGAGCAACAAAGCCTATCAGAGCAGTTTCTTCTGAATATACAACCAAGCAGTCAGGCTGTGGAGCGTCTGAAGACTGCAAAGGGGGACCTGGCAAGGGGAGGCAAGAGCGATGGGAAGCCCAGTGGCAGCAGTTCCTGAAGACCCTGCAGCCCCTTCACCCAGAAGAGGGAAGCCCCCCAGAGACGCCTGAGTCTGCCCCCTGGGAAGACGCCAAGGCCTTCCTGGCCTCCTTTGAGCAAGTGGCCAAAGCCTGCCGCTGGCCCAGAGGAGAGTGGGCAGCCCGGCTCCTGCCTGCGCTGAGCGGGGAAGCAGACGAGGCCTTCCAGAGCCTGGAAGTCCGAGACAGAGAGGATTATGGGAAGGTGAAGGCGGCCATCTTGCGAGGGGCCGCCCTGAGGACGGAGGCTGAGCGCCAACACTTCCGGCAGTTCTGCTGCCAGCAGGTGGAGGACCCCCGTAGGATCCACCTGCAGCTGCAGGATCTCTGCCACCGGTGGCTGAAGCCGGAGAGACGCAGCAAGGAGCAGATCCTGGAGCTGCTGGTCCTGGAGCAGTTCCTGGCCAGCCTCCCGCCAGAGCTGCAGAGCTGGATCCGAGCAGGAGGACCGGAGTCGTGTTCGCAGGCGGTGGCCCTGGCGGAGGAGTTCCTGATGGCCAGCCAGCAAGACTTGGCCGAGGCTGCAGAGTGGCAGGTGAGGGAATAATCCATTTAACTGTCTTGTTGTTGTTTAGTCGTTTAGTCGTGTCCGACTCTTCGTGACCCCATGGGCCAGAGCACGCCAGGCACCTCTGTCCTCCACTACTTCCCGCAGTTTGGTCAAACTCATGCTGGTAACCTCGAAAACACTATCCAACCATCTTGTCCTCTGTCACCCCCTTCTCCTTGTGCCCTCCATCTTTCCCAGCATCAGTGTCTTCTCCAGGGAGTCTTCTCTTCTCATGAGGTGGCCAAAGTACTGGAGCCTCAGCTTCACGATCTGTCCTTCCAATGAGCACTTAGGGCTGATTTCCTTAAGAATGGATGTCTTAGGCACGTGCAAAGTGTTTACATGTATCCCCTCTGAAAAAGAGTGTTAACTTTTCACGACTCTAACCAAGAAATTTGGGGAACATTCCTGTGGGGTTTTGCCAAGACAGGCAGGGGAAAAAAGAACAGCATTTTTGTTTTGTAATTTATAATAATAATAATATCCTTTATTAGGCATAGCAAACCACACATTATCAAACAGGCACCATTTACAATTTGTATAAAATGAGAACTCAACATAACAAGGTTTGTCCTAGTCAGATCTTTAACTCCAGAGAAAATCAATTTGCATAAATAATACAATACAACACTACCGCATCACCGATCAATTAAGAACTACTAAATCTCTTTATAATGGCCCAGTCTTTCTACATGGATAGCACTCAAAAATTCAGCCACTATTAATGTAATTTGATCATTCCTGTCCGAGAGCAGGTCCTGAGCCTTTGGTACAGGTCCTGAACCTTTGTTATGTAATTTTAAAAAGTGTTGGTTTGGGCTGTAAGCCCAAGTAAACCCCACAGAGTTCTAGTTTAGAACTGCAGTGTTAGCCTTACATTGACCCTGGAACGTAAATGCAAGGTTGCCACATTTTCTTTCTGGCAGGTCAACTGTGCCTTTAGCAGTTGCAACGCAGGACAGAAAGGCCACATTTGTCGCTTTTCCCAGCATGGCAATACAGCATGGAGGTCTTCAGCATCGTCCCCTTCTGATCTTTCCATCGGCTCAAGCATTTCAGCTTGCCAGGCGGAAGGCTCTGCCCCATGTCTCCCACCCACCATGTGCTGTTCTGGGTTCCCCGCTCCAGAACCAATTGTGGAGGGGCACAGAGGGGGCCAGGGAAGCCCCGCTGCCCAAGCAGAAGTCCTTGCGCAGGCAGATCTCTCGTGGGGTGGTAAACTCAGAGCAGAGCCTCTGAAATAAGTGGACCTTAGTCATGTTCATTAATTTGAGTAGATCTTCTCCAGGTTGAATGTGATTGAATTCCACCCAATGAAGTAATCTATGCTCATTAAGTTCAAGGTGTCTCCTCTGAGTAGGACTAGCAGTGGATGTGACCCCGCACCTGTAGGAACGCTTCCTGTCATGTGATCTGTGGGTTGCATCCAAAGCTAATCCCAGCCCCTTTCCAGGGCTGCTTCAAGATTATCCTTCTTCCTGTCATGTGGTTGTTAAAGTTCCAGAAGCCACGATATGTGTGTTTTTGTGCAGTTTTGCCAACCCTGTGCAGCATTCACAATTATATAGCTTGCTTGGCCTTGGAACAATCTCATGAGAGCCAATGAGCTTTATTTGCTCCCCGCAAACCACTGCTAGTTGAATTAAACCTGGAATGGAATAGGATTAAGGGGTGCAGAGTAGGTGTCATTTGCCTACCACTTACTCTTTGTAGTTGTTTTGCTCTGTTCCGGGTATGACCACCCTCACTGATTCAGGAACCGTTGCAGGATGTGTGCGTGGATTCCGTGGATGCAGAGGAGGTGCCATCGGACGTTGCTCAAGGACGGATCTATAAGGACAGAGATGGGGAGATCAGTTTGCTAGGTAAGGATTTACAAGAGCGACTAACACCGCAGTCCTAACCATGTTTGCTCAGAAGTAAGTCCGGGCTTACTCCAAGGAAGAGATGGGGACCTAAGAATTTTGCATCTTTTGTATGAGTGGTATAATTTGGACAACTAGGTGTATCGGAAGTCTCTTGTGCCTTTAAGCTGTCTGGTGATGAGATTTTGGCAGGTGAGATTTGTCACGCAGGGGATGATGAAACACTGCACCCGTTGAATTTCCCTATTCTACACAACAGCGCAAGGTCGCTTCAGAGGTGCCAAAACTAGCATCTCGCCAAAATAATTTGTTGTATGCTCAGGCGAAGCAACCACAAAGTACCAAATAACTGCATATTCAAGTCTGGCCCAGGTTTTCCAGATTTTCTAGTCAATTTTCCTTTGATTGTGACTTGATCTAGTACTAGAATTTGGAGGACAGATCCTCTGTAGGATGCTCTAGCTAGGCATGATGTGAACTGCTGGCATCCAGTTATAGAGTTGTACAGTTGGAAGGGACCCAGGGGTCATCTAGTCCAACCCCCCGCAATGCAGGAATCTCAACTAAAACATCCATGACGGGTGGCCAGCCAACCTCTACCTAAAAACCTCCAAGGGAAGGGGTGGCCAGGTTTCCCTTCTGAAATTGTCCTTTCCATCCTTTGCAGGTGGCGACATCAAAAGCTCAAGTAATTCCGGTTTGTTGCTTCCTCCTGAAGGACGGGAGATGGCTGAAGTGGTCCTGAGCGAGGTGACCTTTGGAGACCACAGCATTGCTTCCCGGGGCCGGGGTCTCAGTGTGCAAGGAGAGGAGGTAAAAGTCTTGCTTTTACCCCAGTTTCCTGATTTCCTTCTTGTTCTGCCTCTGGTTATTTCTGCGCTAGTAGGGCTAATTTTAGAGCCCAGCGAAAGAAGCAGCAGCAACTGAGCAAACTGTCCACAAAAAATAGTAACCTGCCTGTTGTTAGTTGCTTACAGCATGCTGGTTTCATTTTAAGAAGCAAAGAATAAACTCCTAGTTTTTGACACTTCCTTGCCTTGTCCACCTGCAGATGGTGTTTGTTCTCCATAGGTGACTATGGCTATTTATGTTCCCAGTATGTATTCATCATCCTTTTCTGTGTTCTAAGTCACAGTGCAGAGTGTAGCTTTTCCTCAGTGTTTAATTTTGTATTTTTACAACTGGATTGATCGGGACGCGGGTGGCGTTGTGGGTTAAACCACAGAGCCTAGGACTTGCCAATCAGAAGGTTGGCGCTTCGAATCCCCGCGACGGGGTGAGCTCCCGTTGCTCGGTCCCTACTCCTACCAACCTAGCAGTTCGAAAGCACGTCAAAATGCAAGTAGAGGTACCGCTCCAGTGGGAAGGTAAACGGCGTTTCCGTGCGCTGCTCTGGTTTGCCAGAAGCGGCTTAGTCATGCTGGCCACATGACCCAGAAGCTGTATGCCGGCTCCCTCTGCCAATAAAGTGAGATGAGCGCTGCGACCCCAGAGTCGGTCACGACTGGACCTAATGGTCAGGGGTCCCTTTACCTTTACCTTTACAACTGGATTGAGAGATGAAACTCTTATTTAATGGGTCTGGGGTTTGTTTGTTTTGTTTGTTTGTTTGTGGGGGGGGAGGACATTAGCATCATTCTGTGTATTTGCATTGTTTCTTATGCAACAGCATCTGATGGCGGTGTTGGGGTGTTTTATGTTTCCAGGGACTGCCAAATTCCAAGGAGACCGGCGTGCCTTTGCCCATGTTTGAAAGGACTCCAACACAGCCAGGCCAACAGACTATGTTCTGGCAAGTTCTGCCAGAGGACAATGGAAATGTCCTGTCCTTTGGTAAGGGTCGCTCAAGTCCAGTAAACAACTTGCCATTTTTGGTATTCGAAAGAGGAAGAAAGAGCCTTTTCCCCAATTCTATGTACTGCAGTACAATTCATAAATACAAAAACATTAGGAATAACAGTAAGAGCTGTTTGACAGTGGAACAGTCTCCCTCGGGAGGTGGTGGGCTCAACTTGGAGCTTTTTTTAGCAGAGGCTGGATAATTATTATAATTATTATTAATTATTATTATTTGTACCCTGCCCATCTGGCTGGGTTTCTCCAGCCACTCTGGGCAGCTTCCAACAAAGATTAAAAATGCATTAAAATGTCACACATTAAAAACTTCCCTGAACAGGGCTGCCTTCAGATGTCTTCTAAATGTCAGGTAGTTGTTTATCTCTTTGACATCTGATGGGAGGGCGTTCCACAGGGCGGGCGCCACTACCGAGAAGGCCCTCTGCCTGGTTCCCTGTAGCTTTGCTTCTCGCAATGAGGGAACCGCTGGAAGGCCCTCGGCGCTGGACCTCAGCGTCAGGGCAGAACGATGGGGGTGGAGACGCTCCTTCAGGTATACTGGGCCGAGGCCTTTTAGGGCTTTAAAGATCAACACCAACACTTTGAATTGTGCTCGGAAACGTACTGGGAGCCAATGTAGGTCTTTCCTTGAATGACTGAGAATTGCTTTTTCTGAGGGTGTTGAAAACTCTTGGGAAAGCAGAGGCCTTGGTTTGCTTCAGATAGCACAATTTCCGGGACTTGAGTGTGAGCTGTCCCTTTTGCCCCTTCAAAACAGGAGCCATCGTGTGAGACATGCCCGATAGCATTCAGTGCCCCAAATTCCTTCCGTGCAGGATTAGCTGAAGCAGTTTCTGTACAAATAGAACAAAATAGCCGTATTTATTCCCTTTATTTAGAGAGGACACAAACCAACCTGGCTTAAGCGAACAATCCTCACAGCCTGGGATGTAAGGAGAGGGGTTGATATCTGGCTGGAGGTAGGGAGAGAAAGAAATAATGCTTGTGCTTAGCAGATATATTTCGATGATGCGGAAGGGCAAATAGTGAGGAGAGGAAGGAGGTTGCAGGCTTCTAGAAAAGACCAGAGCATGGACAAAACCCCTCTCTCTGTCTCTTCAGGTGAACAAAAGAGATGCTGGATCAAGAGGGAAACGTCTCAGCGGGGAGAGACTTTGCCAGAGGACATACACAGGGCATGCACAGAAGTACCTCAGTGGGATTTTCCTCTGACGTCTGAAACTCACGAGCAGCGTTGTGAGGGGAAAGGGCGACAGAGGAAGCCAGTGGAGAGAGAGGGAGAACGCAGCGAGTGCACAGAAGTTATTCCAGGTGTTGTTATCCTGACCTCCTCAGGGCCCATAGAGGGGGAGAAGCTTCCATTTTCTGGGTACGGGAGGAAACACAACGACAACTCAGGGCTTGTTGTGAGTCACCCTGGGGAGGACCCCAGCGAACGTCCTCCGTGGGGCAAAGAAAGCCAGACAAAGCATTGCTTCTGTAAACCTCAGGGGATGCTTACAGGAGGGGAACAACATGCACCTGCCGAGTGTGGAAGAAACCCTTTTGTTGGCCACCAGAATATTTGCACAGAAGAGGAACCCAAGGAAAGTCTTGAGGGTGGTCAAAGTTTCAGATGCAGGCCGCAGAATCATCGGGACATTCCTTCAGGAAGGAAGAATCATGAATGTTCCACATGTAGGAAAAGCTTCACTTCCAGAACAGGTTTAACAAGGCACCAGAGGATTCATACTGGAGAGAAACCCTACAGGTGCCTTGAGTGTGGGAAAAGCTTCAGCCGGGGAGAAAACCTGTGCAGACACCGGAGGGTCCACACTAGAGAGAAACCGTACAAATGTTCTCACTGCAGGAAGTGTTTCGGTCAGAGGGGGGACTTGAAGGTTCATCAGAGAATCCATACCGGAGAGAAACCGTACAAATGTCCCAAGTGCGATAAGAGCTTCAGGCGGCGACAGCACCTGATGGGCCATCAGAGGACCCATAGCAGAGAGTAACTGTTTCAAGTTCATCAGAGCACTCACAAGAGACCTTACAAATGCCACAAGGAAAAGCCAGGAAAGATTGGTTAAGCACCAGAGCACCTTTAATATTGTCTGCCATCAGATCCTGTCACCACAGATTCCACTTTCTCTATACAGTGGTGCCTCGCAAGACGAAATTAATTCGTTCCGCAAGTTTTTTCTTCTTGCGAGTTTTTCGTCTTGCGATGCACGGTTTCCCATAGGAATGCATTGAAAATCAATTAATGCGTTCCTATGGAAACCGACTTCAGACCAGGTCCGGGGACAGTTTGTCCCCCGACCTCTTCTGAAGGCTGGGGGGGGGACAAGGGCTTTTCTTCCCACCCCCAGCATTTTAAAAAACCCCGGGACAGCGGAGGGCTTCTCCGCTGTCCGGGGCGATCTTAAAATGCTGGCGGGCGGCATTTTAAAATCGCCCCGGGACAGCGGAGGACTTCTCCGCTGTCCAGGGCGATTTAAAAGCCCTCCGGGACAGGCAGGCAGGGGGGAGCATAGACTTTCGCCCCCCGCCCGCCTTCAGAAGAGGCCCAGGACCTCTTCTGAAGGCAGGCAGGGGGCGAAAGTCTTTGCTCCCCCTCCCCGCCTGCCTTCAAAAGCCCTCCTGCCTGCCTTCCCGGGAGAGCGGAGAAACGCAGCGCTGCGTTTCTCCGCTCTCCCGGGAAGGCAGGCAGGGGGGAGCAAAGACTTTTGCCCCCCGTCAGTCTTCAGAAGAGGTCCTGGACCTCTTCTGAAGGCGGGATTGGGGTGAAAATCTTTGCTCCCCCTGCCTGCCTTCAAAAGCCCTCCGGGACAGCGGAGAATCGCGCTGCCCGGGGCGATTTTAAACCCGCTGTCCCGGGTTTTTTTAAATGCTGCTGGGTGGCAGCGCTGCCGCCCGGCAGCATTTTAAAATCGCCCCGGACAGCGGAGAAGTCCCCCGCTGTCCCGGGGTTTTTAAAAAACCTCTCCGCCCCCCGCCAGGCTTCGGAAGGCTGCTCCGAAGCCTGGCGGCGGGAGGAGGTCCGAGGACAGTGGGGAAGACGCGCTGCGCTTTTCCCCCGCTGTCCCGGAGATTTCCCTATGGGCTTTCGTCTTGCGAAGCAAGCCCATAGGGAAATTCGTTTTGCGAAGCGCCTCCAAAACGGAAAACCCTTTCGTCTAGCGGGTTTTCCGTCTTGCGAGGCGTTCGTCTTGCGGGGCACCACTGTACTCTCGATAGCAAGTGGGTGGCCACTATGAACTATTTGTGCCCACAGCTCCTCAGCGGCATGCTCTCCTAGTGAAGGAAGTTCCAGAAACCATTTTTTATCTTGTCTATAGTGGCTGCAGTATGGGATGTGGGTGGCACTGTGGGTTAAACTGATCAGAAGGTCAGTGGTTCGAATCCCCGCGACGGGGTGAGCTCCCATCACTCAGTCCCTGCTCCTGCCAACCTAGCAGTTTGAAAGCACGCCAAAGTGCAGGTAGATAGATAGGTACCTCTCCGGCGGGAAGGTAAACGGTGTTTCCGTGCACTGCTGTGGTTCTCCAGAAGCGGCTTAGTCATGCTGACCACATAACCCGGAAGCTGTACACTGGCTCCCTCGGCAAATAAAGCAAGATGAGCGGTGCAACCCCAGAGTCATCCGCTACTGGACCTAATGGTCAGGGGTCCCTTTACCTTTAGTGGCTGCAGTCTTAAAAACTGCATACTGGGACATAGTTAGTGGAATATCTCATGTGTCAAACTGCTTGGGATTAAACCATTCTACTTGCCATTGCTTTTCCTCAAGGAGCATTGGGAACTGGAGTTTGGGGTGGGTCTTTTGGCAGCCCAGAGGCCTGTACTGACCTCTTGATGTACAGTTCCCAGAGTCTGATTCTGAGTTGTCCCCTTCTCACTTCAACAGGGAAGCCATAATATGGAGGCATGGTTGATAGTATGGAAGGGGGGCAGGTGATCAGGGTCTTCAGTGGCCCAAATATATCATCTTTGTGATTAGTTGAAACTGGTTTTGAAATTTTAAAAGGCCAAAATAGCCATATTTGAGAGAGTTACTACTCTGTTAGACGGAACACTTGGGAGTGGGGGTTAGTCCAAGTGTGGGGAATCTTTGACCCTCCAGATGTTGCTGAACGTAGCCAGGGATGATGGGAGTTGGAGTTCAGCAACATCTGGAGGGTCAAATGTTCCCCACAGCTGATTTAGCCAGTCAAACTGCTGTTGCTGGCCCCTATGAACATAACCATTTATCCATAAAGTACTTTAGCTATTAGGGAGAAGTAGACAGGTTTAGACTGCAATCCTAAAAAAAAAAGTCTGCTACCTGGCATTGTGGACTTAATTAAAATTACAGGCTTTTGATACCAGCCTTTAGAACAAACTATAATACATTGTTGTTTTCCTCATTTACCCCCAATGTACCCCAGGAATTGCTTTTTCTGAGGGCGCTGAAACCTACTGAGGAACCAGAGGTATCATGTTTCCTTCAGAAAGCAAAACTCCTGGAATTTATTTTTTGCCCCTTCATAAAGCCGTGATGGGGACATGGGTGGCGCTGTGGTCTAAACCACAGAGCCTAGGGCCTGCCAATCAGAAGGTCGGCGGTTCGAATCCCCGTGACGGGGTGAGCTTCTGTTGCTCGGTCTCAGCTCCTGCCAACCTAGCAGTTCAAAAGCACGTCAAGTGCAAGTAGATAAGTTGGTACCACTCTGGCGGGAAGGTAAATGGCATTTCTGTGTGCTGCTCTGCTTCGCCAGAAGTGGCTTAGTCATGCTGGCCACATGACCCAGAAGCTGTACGCCGGCTCCCTCGGCCAATAAAGCGAGATGAGTGCATAACCCCAGAGTCGTCCGCGACTGGACCTAATGGTCGGGGGGGGGGTACCTTTACCTTTAAAGCCGTGATGAGAGATAATGGCTGACAGAATGGTTGAGGACAGTCTCATTTACAGTGTGGAAGATGACTTTCCTCTGCAACCAACTGATGGTGCAAGCAGACCCAAATAGGCGCACTTGGCTTTAACATCTTAATTTAGAGATGTCACAAAAGGCACCTCTCCCAAGAGCAGAACCGAGTGAAGAGGAGAACCTCACTTGTGGAGAGAGTGATAAGAGTGGTGATGCGTGGCTAGAAATTGAGAGAAAATGCTGAGTGTAGCGGAGAAGATTCAGAATAGCCTAGAAAGGGAGCTCTGGCAGGACAGAGAAAGCCAGGAGGGAGGAGGTTTCAAGAGTAGAAAAGAGGTGACCAGGGCCTGGACAAAATTCCTCTCTCTTTCTCTTCAGGTGAACAAGACAGGTGCTGGATGAAGATGGAGAAATCCCACTTGGGAGAGAATTTGCCGAAAGAAATGCACAGGGAGTTAGCGGGAGAATTCCGTCGGGATATTTCGGCTGTGACACCTGGAATTCCTGAGGAGAAAAATAATTCCAAAGGGCAACGGGAGAAGCAGCCGGTGAAGAGAGAAACACAATGCCTCTCAGGAGTTATTGCAGTCTCTGTTAGCGAAGCCTCAGCAGTGGCCACAGACAGTGGAAAGCCCTGCAGGAGAAAATATAAGTCAGAAAACCCTTTTGAGTGCCCCACATCAGCGAGAGACAGCCACTCGGTATGTTGCCTTGAGAAACTACAAGGAACACTTAGGGGGGAGAAACAAAATGCCTTGCCTGCATGTGGGGAAAATTTATGTGGGGGAGAGGAATTTGTTGGACACCAGGACAGCCGCACAGAAGAGAGCTCCCACGAATGCCCCAACGATGAGAAACGCTTCAGACATAGACATCGGAACAAGAATTCAGGAAGGAAACCCCACGAATGTTCTGTGTGCGGGAAAAACTTCACCTTCAGAGCAGAGTTAGCAAGACATCATAGAATCCATACCGGAGAGAAACCATATGGATGTTCTCAGTGTGGGAGAAGCTTCCGGCAGAGAACGCACTTAGTAAGGCACCAGAGGATCCATACTGGGGAACTGTTCCAATGCACCGAATGTGGGAAGGGCTTTTCCCAGAGAGATACGTTGAAAAGACACCAGAGAACTCACAGGACGCTCCTGAGGCCTGCGTCCTCTGAGGGTGGGGAGAGTTCAAATCGGGGCAGCATGTTCGCTGTGCAGGCCCCTGCCATACCTGTACCAGTGGCCATCTTCCCATTGGGAGTAGCCAGCATTAGGCCTCAAAATGGGATTGAGCTCAAAAAGCTCTCGGAAAGCCCATAGTAAAGAACAACCATGTTCACTTTCAGTTAGACTCCAAGTCTCAAATGTGTTAATCACAAGGCACCAGTTACTCATATACATTTAATAATATCAACAATTTTATTATTTATACTCCGCCCATCAATATACATAATGCATGCTGAAACTAAAAGCTTACCCACGAAAATGCAGTGGTGAGGAAGCATGCATAAGCCGAATACTGTAGTTGTGGCTATAATCGCAGAATTTGGGCTGCAATCCTCACCCCACTTTATCCTGGACATAAACCCCGTTGAATTCAGCAAGACTGACATGGTTAGGAACACACTGTTCTAGTCCTTATGGAATACCCTCTCCGTGGAGGCATTTCATCCCGACTTCATTTTATTTTTCTGTGCCTACTTAAAACACACCGATTTGGCACATTGGCTTGTTGCACATCAGAGAATCCAGAGGGAAAGAAAATGCTTAGCAGGACTGAGAACATGTAATATCCCACTGCAGGAATACCTGCAGCTGCTGTTGAAAGCAGAACATCTAGCAGCAGGGAGGCGATAAGAGCTCTGCCGACACTGTAGGCCCCACAGCATGAGTCAAGGATCTTCCCTCCGTCACCAGTTTTCTTCAGCCCACGGTCATGGCTTCGCTTTAACCAGCTTATGCACTTCCTTTTATGCACTTCCTTGTGTCTCAGGTGAACAGAAACCTTATGGCCCCTGAAAGTTTGCCATTGAATGCTTAATTCTGCTTTCTTGTGGAGTGTTTCCAGAGGCATAGCTGGGGGGCGGGCGCACTAGCCGCCACACTGTGGGGGCAGCACTTACTGCAGGACCTGCAGTGCGCCTGAGCCACGCAACTCTCCTGGGAGTGACATGGTGCCTTGGGCACCTGCAGGCTCCGCACTGCCTGAAACGGCAGTGTGGGACTTTTGTCCGCCGCCTCCCCCCCCAGCTGCCCCCAGCTGGGAAGACTCAGCCTTCTCTCTCCCCTCTCCTTGGGAGTCCTCCGGGCAGCCGCTCTGCCCCAAAGAGAGGTGCCTCCTCACGCTGCCCCACAGGGGCCTGGGAAGCAGAGACATGAGAGGGCATCGGAGGAGGGAGGAAGGGAAGAAAAGAGGGGCAGAGGCCAGTGTTGCCCGTGGCACCCCTGACCATCATTCAAGGCACCCCAGGGTGCCACAGCACACTGGTTGAAAACCACTGGTTTAGGGATTGTGCACTCAACTGAATGGGGGGGGGGCATTGTGGTCCAAAAATCCTCTGATCCATTATCCTCCTGTGTATGTTTGACACCTCTTCATCCTATAGATGCCTCGAGAAGACCTTGTGAGAAGGCCAGCTCAAAGGCATGGAGTTGTTTACTGCGTTAAAACCATTTTGACTTGTTCTGGTTTGCACTTTTGTGACCTTTATTTCTCCTTTGACAAGCCTCCTATTTTCTCGGAGGGAAACCCCCCAAGTTACGTTTTGTTGCATTCGTTAAGGTTTTGAAAATGAATAAAAATTAATTAATTAATTAATAATCTCTGAGTGTAGCACTGTTATTTTGTAAAGGCTGACTGTGAGATTACAGAAAAATAAGACTCCAGTTCTGAAATGGAGGCAGGGGCATATTGTCTTACATTTTGTGGAGGCTGGACCAGTTGAATGTGGGGGACTTGTTTGTTCCCAAGTGTGCACCAGTTCACTTCACGGCATGCATGTGGCCGCCACAAAACTTGGGGGGGGGCAGCCCTTTTAATTTTTTTGAGGTGGCCCTCACGGCCCTGCATAGATTGTGCCCCTGTTCCTTTTTCCTTTCTAGAGAAGAGTGCTGGGGTGGCCATGACAGGAAGTGTCTCTTGCATAAAATGGCGGAGTGTTTAAAAAGCCAACAGCTATATCTTTAAAAAGATGACAATACTTTTTTTTTTTAATCGATGAGAAGTCTTGACATTCCAAAACATAAGGGAGAGTTGTCCTTTTGGGCTTTCTGACTAAGTTGAACTGGGCACAAATATATATATATATATTATAATAATATTTTATTAGAAATTCCAAAGAATTAACAACCAAACAGAAAAAACCACAAAAAAGAACAGACAAACCTCAAAAATCCAAACAATAAAACATCAAAAAAAGAGGAAAAAATACAAAAAAGAATACAGAAAAAAGTATAGCATAAAAAAGAACACTCTTTCATTTTGATAACTTTCAGAACCTTATTCTCTTTACTTCCACCCGCCTTCCCTTCTTGTATTCTATTTTAAAAATTAATTCAGCAAGATCATTAGTTATTCATTTTTAAGCCTTTGTCCATCTCTTTACAATCTATTTAACTTAATCGCTAAAACCCCTTCATTTCATTTTCAGAGCCCTTAGCATTCATAAATTTTACAATATTTTTGAAGATAAATTTTAAACTTCTTCCAGTCCTCTTCCACCTGCTCCTCTCCTTGATCTCGGATTCTGCCGGTCATTTCTGCCAGTTCCATATAGTCTATTACTTGCCTCTTTCGCTTCCTCTGCTATCTTCTTTGTCTCCTTGGATTCCTGCAGCAGCTTGTCAATTGCCTGGGTGTTCGTGTTCACTTTCTGTCCCACGTCATTCACTTTCTGCCCAAGATCATTAATAGATGAAGTATTTAGATCAATCTTAGCTGTCAGATTTTGTAATGCTGAGAGAATCTTATCCAATGTCGCGGAGTCTGTTCCTGCTCCTTTTGAATCTTCTCTGTCTGTAGCTTGTGTTGTGGAAGATCCTGTTACAGATGCTCTTCTATGCAGTTGTTGTTGCTGTGCCTGTAATTGCGTCTGTTGTCTAGTTTTAGCTCTAACCGCTTTCTCTTGAGCCTTCTCCAACGCCTTATCTTGTTTTTCCTGATCCATTACTTAGTCTCTGGGAACCAAGGTCAGTCACACAGCTCTCACAACTCCCAGGCTTGTCTCTTTAAAAATGACAGCTGCAGTGGAAAATCCCCAGCGATAATACAAAGTTCCTCTAGGGGGAGCAGAGTAGCAAGTTGTTTCAAAAAGATGATTTAAACAGTAAACAGTAAACTTCCCAACTGTTATATTAATAAAAACACTGTGGACTCAGATGTATGCTAAAAAATTGCCAGTCTCTTGCAACAAAGTATATCCTCAAAAAGTTACCAGTTCTTTTTGCAAAGATCCACAACTTGATTTACAATGTCTATAAAGTGGTGCACTCGGAATGACCTTAAAGTTGTTTAAAGCAGCCCGGTATCAAGAATGGAGTGGTGGTTTTTTCACCCCTTACCCAACTTATAGAGGGGGGGCGGGTCTTTAGCCAGGCAATGAATTTTAACTCTTTATTAACAGTCAGTTTCTTAGGTTTAAAGCTCCTTTGTCCCTTACATTCAAACTATTTACAGGATCGGCAAAGCAGGCTTCCTGTTTACGCTTTGCCGGTTTCAGATCCGAATTCCACAAATAGCATCCAAGATCAAAGTCAGATTCAAATTCAGGGATCATTTATATCAGTTCTTTTACTTTGATCTTTTCTTAGTTCCCCAATTCTTACTCACGGATAGATGTTTTGAGTGTTGTTTCACAGGAAAAAAGGTCAGCGCTCTCCGGTAATTGCTATGCAGCTTCACTCCGCAGAAGTAGCGATCGACCCTCAGCACAGCACACCTCCCGCTCCGCTCCGAAGCTCTTTACAGCAGTGTTTCCCAACCGGTGTTCCGCGGCACACTAGTGTGCCGCGAGACGTTGCCTGGTGTGCCGTGGGAGGGAGGCGGGTGAGTCAGGTGGCGAGAGGCGGGGCGGCGGCGGCGAGGATCCGCGTCGAGCCGGGGGCGGCTCCGCGGTGGTGGTGCCGAGGTTTCTCTCTCCATTCTCCCCTCACACACACACACAGGAAATAACAGGATCAGCTGACAGGACCCGGCCAATGGGGCGGCGGCGGGGCAGCGCGCGCAAAAGGGAGGAGCGCGAGACAGCGGACGAGGAGGAGGCCGGCATGTCCGGGCAGCAGCAGCAACAACAGCAGCAGCAACTCCCGGCGACGGCTCCTCAAGCCCCGGGCAACCCTACTCCCTCACCGGCCTCGGCCGCCCTCCTGCTCCACCCGCCACCGCCTCCCCCGCCGCCGCCGGCCACCTCGGCCCCAGCGCCGCCCCCTCCTCCGCCCGCTATCGCCGCCACCACCACAACAGCCGCCGCCGCCTCAGCTGGGCCCATGCCTGCCGGGAGCGGCGGCGGCAGCAGCAGCGCCCCGGCGCCCTTCCCTCACGGCGGCGACCCGGCCCTGAACGAGCAGGAGAAGGAGCTCATGCGTCCCTCCCGGCGTGACGCTGCGTGCTGACGTCACGGGGCTGTAATGGTGGTGTGCCTCGAGATTTTTTTCATCAAACAAGTGTGCCTTTGCCCAAAAAAGGTTGGGAAACACTGCTTTACAGAGCTTCTTTGACAGTTCGGGGGGGGGCGCAGAACGTGCCTGCTGGGTCCCACGGCCCCAGGCTTCTTCCGCCTGCGGGTTTTTTAAGGGTCCTCCGCTGTCGCTGTTGCGGAGGTCCCGATTTCCGCGGAGCCTCTCCCTCCGATCAGAAGGAGACAGCCATTACCGCTGGCGCCGCCTCCAGGAAGTGGGCACAAATATAAGCAAGGAGACATCTAGCTTGGCAGTAGCACATGTGAAAAGAATCTAGGGGTCTTGGTAGACCACAAGCTTAACATGAGTCAACAGTGTGACTCAGCAGCAAAAAAAGCTAATGCTATTCTGAGCTGCATCAACAGAGATACTGTGTTCAGATCAGAAGTCATTGTCCCACTCTGTTCTGGAGTACTATGTCCAGTTCTGGGTACCACAGTTTAAGAAGGATGTTGGCAAGCTGGAACGTGTGCAGAGGAGGGAAACCAAGATGATCAAGGGTCTGGAAACCAAGCCTTATGAGGAGCTGTTGAGGGAGCTGGGGATGTTTAGCATGGAAAAGGAGATATGATAGCCATCTTCAAACATCTGAAGGGCTGTTGCTTGGAAGATGGAACAAGCTTGTTTCTCCAACCCTGGAGGTTGGCATCCAAACCAGGGGCTTCAAGTTGCAACTAAACATCAGGAAGAACTTTCTGACGGTAAGAGCTGTTGGACAGTGGAACGGTCTCCCTTGGGAGGTGGCGGACTCTCCTTCCTTGGAGGTTTATAAGCAGAGGTTGGAGGGCCATCTGTCATGGATGCTTTAGCTGAGATTCCTGTTTTGCAGGGGGTTGGACTAGATGACCCTGCGAGTTTTGGGTCCCTTTTCTTGTGGACTATAAAATATTGCAAACCACCTGTGAGCCTTGGATGAAGGGCGCTCTACAAATACAAATAAATAAGTTGGAAGGGACCCCCAAGGGTCATCTAGTCCAACCCCCTGGAATGCAGGAAACTATGAAAAGCAAAATGGCTATCCAACCTTTGCATTACATAAGGTCCCAGAGCGAGTTGCAACTACTAAACAAAACAACTTTTACAGATTCGTGGGCATGTTGTTATGGGCTCCTTTCATTCGTGTTTAATATCTATTTCTGAAATCTTTGCTTTTGCAAGCCGGTTTGAGTTCGATCCTTCGGGGCGGGTGAGAGGGGCAATGTAATCATAATTAAACAACTAATTTCTCAAATTATTTTGGGTGGGTGGAGGAGCCATGAGCAGCTCCTTCCAGTCGGGGGCAGCATTGCTCGCGTGCAGGAACCTCGGCTCCCTCTCTGCAAGCGACGCCATTAGACCATGAGGAGGAGGAACAGGAAGAAAAAGAAGGCGACCGCCAACGAGAGCAGCCTCCATCGCTCCAGAGACCTCGCAGCCGCCCTCCTCTCCCCTTTCCCCGCCGGAAAATCCCGGGGAGCCGCGCTTCCCTCCCCCCTAAAAAGGTGAGTCTCACTTACTGCCCGAACTCCCCTCCGCCTCCTTCCCTTTTATTGCATTTGATCATCATCA